AACGCATTGGTATGAATCGTGATGCATCGGGATATCGAATTGAATCGAATCGTTGACAGGATAATCGTAATGGAATCGAATCGTGAGACCAGTGAAGATGCACAGCCCTACTCTTAACACAAGGTACATACGTATATTGTCTTTTAAAAATGTATGAAACACCACTGTCATGTGTTTCTTTTGGCTAGAATGGTATTTTAATGACATTAATTCAACTATATTTAGAACATTGGGTGGTGTTGATCTTTAGCCTGTTGAGGCAAAAAAATACGGTCCTCACAAAAAGAAATCACCCGCCAAAACCAATTATTTTTTAACTGGATGGAAAAAATAACTTAAATCAGACTTTATAAAATGGATCACTAGAAAAAGAAAATATCTCTTGGGGCTTATAGCTCCTAAATGATTGTCTGTGCTGAAATTTGAAAATCTTTAATCAATGCTAATTATTTGCATCTTCAGTTGATTTTTGCTCAAGGAATAAAACAGATGCGCTTTTGTTGGTATGAAATAATTAACAAATCAGTGTCTCCTTCAATCAAAGCCAGCTTTCTCCACTCAACCCACCGTGCGGGTCACCAATTGCCTTTTCCAGTGTAAGATGATACAAATAAATGACTCAAATAAATGTACATTATAAACTAAGGGATTTATATAAAAACACAGTTTCCCACAACTGCTCTACTTCAGTACAATCCTAATCGGCTGAGCGAATGGGATATACAGATGTAGCACTTATAGGCCTACGTCTGTTTCCTGTTGAAATTCAGTTCAATTTTTAAATCGTTCTGTGTGACACGAAAAAAAAGGGGGAAATCGTGTTGGTGAACACGAATCAACTGGGTTGTGACAGCAGGGATTAGTTTAAGAGTTGCAAAGGTTGATCAAATCTCTTGCAGCCTCAAGGCAAGAAGGTAAGAAACGAGGAGGGTTAGGGCTAGAGAGGACAATGATAAGAATTAGGAAAGAAATTGGTGAAAGGTAATTCAAGAAAAAATCACCCCCAAGTTGCCCAACCCTAAGACCTGGTTAAGGGAAAGAAAGATGGGTGAAACAAAACGGTAAGAGGAAAGATAAGGAAGGTGAAGTAATGGAGGTCAAAATTAAACGGCTAATAATAGAGTGTGAAGAAAAAGAAAAGGGGAGAAATTAAGAAAAGGTAAAACAGAAGAAGAGAGGGTAAAGAGGGTATATTTAAAACATATTTTTCACATGTATTCTTACCATTAAATACCCTAGATCTTCTTAGTCAGTTATTCTGTAATAAGAAAAAAAGTTGAATGAAATCTAAAGTAATAAGGTAAAAATGAAACACCAAGTATGGTTTACATATTGTACCACTTTGTCGTTTGCAAGTGACTTCATCATTTCAAGTGTTAATGTTAAAAATAACTATTAGAGCTATAGCAAAGAGAAAGTTTGGAAAACAGGAAGATGAGTGGGAAAGGAAAGAGGAGACAGACGAGTGGGAGGGAAGAACTCAGACAGAAGCCTCATCCCAATACCCCTCCTTGACTCCTCCTTTCCCTCACTCGCGTCCCTTCCTTGCGTCTTAGCTCCGCCTCCGTAAGATGCGAGCGAGAGACACAAGGAGGTGACGCGAGGACAGAGGAGTCCTCAGGTATTAATTGGGATGTCCTCGTTCACTCAAACGTCACTCTTAAATGACGTCTGTTAATGATGACATGTGCACAGCTGTATCCCCTCTCATCGGGCTTAACTGAATAACCCTTTAGAACCGGCCCATTTGTTGTTTATTTAAATGAATGAATCTTTCTCTTGTTAGTCAAGGAATGCAATGTATGATGGTTGGGCCTGCTTTTGTGTTCCGTTTTGGTGTAAAATGTACATTTAAATAAAATTATAATTATAGTAATGTGAAAGCCTTTACTCTGAACATGTGTGTCCTGTAGATCCCCACATTCACCACAAACCCACATTCAGGACTGTGCATTTTAAATAATTTAACTACTGAATATTTTAACACAAAACAAAACAAATAATTGCTTATCAAGATCTAGCCATTTATGAAATAGCTTTCTTAATAGCTATGTTTCAGTGACGTTCAAGATCATTAAACATACCTTTTACAATATCTGCATTATCCAATGACTTGAAAGATGCCAGGTACACCAGCAGGTGCACACATTAAATAATGAGGCCTGCATTGCTCCATGGTACAAAAGCTCCAGGTGTGGATCGTCTAGTTCGCCAAAGACACGACCAAGACGAGCATAGTGAAAGATCTTAACTTGAAAGCTATGAAAACTGTTCCGTGCGCCCTGGCGACATGGCATCGAATCTGAAATCTGATGCACCAAGAAGAACAACTGCGTTCACAGCGTTGGAGAGCGCGAATGAGACGAATGGTTCTGCTCCTACATGAGGTAGTTTTAACAACTTTGATACACCTGTTGCCTATGGTGGTGATGGCTCAGAGAACATCTAAAGTAGTGCACATTTAACACAAGGTGGCTAATTTTACACTTACAATAAACATTATCAATTTCTCTCTATCAAACCAATTATATTAGGTTTACACTTATATTAATCAGTCTTTTTTCATAGGATAAACAAAGGATTACAATTAAGAATTGTAGTGTAATACAATAACATAAGTACACTTGAGCATGCAGAAAATCACATTTCAACCAATTACATAATTTGTAAGGTGAAAAGTCCATATTCATCTCATTAGTTGTTTCTTTGTTCTGCCTGAAATGTTTGGAGGGAAAGAGTGTACCAGGCCTGTATTCTATTCGTTGGGGAGAGGCCTATCAGAAGTGTAAATCTGGACAGTGCATGTGATAACAATTACACAGAAAAAGTCAAAGTAACAGGACTAGTTTTACTCTCTTCACTTCTTACTTGTTTGCACTGTCTGACATGTCTGAAGCGCTTATTAATGTTGGTGGAGTAACATTGACATGGTTGAATGTAAAGCCTTCAGAAAAGTAATGGCATGCAACACATTTTGTACTTCATAACTTGAAGATGTTGTGATTTCTACTATGCATTATGTGATTGTACTGCTTATTGCTTTGTTTGCTGGCTAATATTTAATCAGCCTCTTTCTCTTCTTCTCTAGATGGACAATGCACCGGCAACAAGGTACTGTGAAATAAATCCATCAGTACCAGTGCTACATCTGTTTTTGGATGGAGAACGGGACCTTGTTGCCGATTACCGTCTGAGCCGAAGGTCACTCGAGGCCCTGATGCTGTTGCTGCCAGACGAGAAGAACCATGGCTGGGGGCATACCATAACTATACTCATCACTGTGTATTGGTTGGCACATGGGCTCTCGTATAGTGTGGTGTGCCGTGCATTTCATGTTCCCAAGTAATGGTAAATGGACTGTACTTATATAGCGCTTTATCCAGTCTTTAAGACCCCTCAAAGCGCTTTACATACTACATGTCGTTCACCCATTCACACCCGTTCATACAGAGCAGTGTATGTTAGGACATGCACTAACATGCATACACATTCACACACCGTTGGCCATGCCATCGGGAGCAACTCAGGGTTAAGTATCTTGCCCAAGGATACATCGACATGTTGACTGCATGGGCTGGGATCGAACCCACAACCTTCTGGTTGAAAGACGACCATACTCCCTCGCAGCCACAGTCGCCCTATAAGTCCACTGTGTGCAGAGTGGTGCACATTGGGACGGCAAAAATTGCAGCTCTGCGAAAAGTGGTGATTACACTGCCCTCCCACCAGGACCTTCATGAGGTGGCCGCTGGTTTTGAGTGGCTGGCAAACAGTCCAGGTGTGTTGGGGCCATAGATGGCTGCCACATCCGGATCAAGACCCCCCCCCTGGACTATGTCAACAGGAAGCTCTTCCCCTCAATTCAGCTACAGGCCATCTGTGACGGGAAGGCTAAATTCCTGAACATCTTCGCAGGATATCCAGGGTCTGTTCATGATACGAGAGTCCTGAAAAACAGCAGGATTTTCAAAGAGGCTCTGTATCCCCCAGCAGGATATTTCCTTGTGGGTGATGGTGGCTACCCTTGTATTACACAGCCTGTTGCCATCATCACCCCTTATCGGGAGTCAGTGCAAGGGAGGATACGGCGCCGTTTCAACGGCCATCATGCCAAGGCACGCCTCATCATTGAACATGCTTTTGGGGATGATGAAGATGCGCTGGAGGTGCCTGCTCTTCAAGGCTCTTGAGGTCAGCCACACCTTTGCCCCAATGGTTATCACTGCATGTGCTGTCTTGCATAACATTTGCCTGACAGCTGGGGACGTCCTTGAACCGCTCCAAACTGAGGACGATCTGGATGTGCCTGCACCTCGTCCAGTAATGGGGGAACGGAGTGCAAATGGCTGGCGTGACAGACTGGCAGCACAGGTCTCAGCTCCAGATGTGCAGCCAAGAGAATTGGAGGATCACGATTACATATAGGTTGCTATTATTTTATATTTTTTGTGATACATTTGTGTTCCCCTGGCACATATACATTTTGTATGTCAAAATAAAACATGTGCTCAAAATCAGTCTACTGCCTCATGCATCATTTAATTGTGCACTGTCCTCATACATGTGTTTCATGTAAATTGGTCCAAGATGATAAATAACAACTGACATTGTATCATGTGATGTGAAATCTAAATGATATTCAAGTATTTCAGTGTGTGCAGATGATTGGTTGAAAAGAGTGAAAATGCAAGAGGTTGACTGAGGGATAACCACTTTGCAGAGTTTTGTTCTCAACTTTTTAAGACCAACCATGATACCAGAGTGGTTCATGTTAGCGTTTGTTTTCCAACCCATAGCTTTGTTACTTTGCCTTAAATAGTGCATTTTGAAACCAGTGTGTAAAAACCCTTCACTCTGCCATTGTATGACACTTTAAAACATGTAGATGTTCTCATCTGAAAGTGAAGATTGCTTGTTCTTTAGATGTTAGCATAAGTTCCATGTGCCATACTTCCACTCCCAAAAGCCAAACTGAATCACATGCATGAACAGCACACCATTTATTTGTTCACAAGCTTTTCGAAAAGGTCAAGGAATCTTTTGGTGGATGCTTCATTCGCCTGTTGAGAGGCCTTGAACCTCTCTTCTTCCCTGGCAGCCTCCGCCTTCACAAAATCAAGGAATGGATCTTCCTTCTGTTTCTTTCTGGGGGGTGGAGCGGCAGGGGTTGATGGCTCAACGTCAAGGCTGCTTGAGCCAGGCTGGGCCTCCTCCTCCTCCCATGCCTGGACAGCTGCAGCCGTCGATCCATCAGAGGCCACAGCAGCCGCAGGTGCCGGGTTCTCCCCATCGCATGAGTCAAAGAGGATAGGAGGCTCAATAGAAGGCCTCCCCCCGATAGCCTCATGCATGGCCTCTCCCTGGTCCAGTGGCTGGGGTCCTGAGCTCCTAAAATAAATTAAATTAAAGTGTTAACAGGCTTTGAAATTATATTACACAAGCATAGGCTATACTGTGTTCAGTGATTAAGCAAAATGCATGACACACATCATGCATTTAAAGAGCAGAAAACATCTCATGGTGCTAAACAACATTTTTACCACACCTTACGCTGCGTCCACACTACAGCGTCGACAGCATCAAAAACAGTTTCCAACGCGTCTGTCCATTCACTTTGAATGGGGTGACGTCACGTTGCCTCGCTTTTCGCCGAACTGAATTGTGGGTAGCATCATAGCGGTCCGTCTCCGCCATCTCCGGCGTCAGAAGTTGAACATTGCCAGCCAATCAAATCCTGTTTTTGAAAATCTGACAGCTCAAGCCCTAGCCAATCAAACCATGTCTAAGCTGGGAGAGATATCCCGCCGATCATTTCAATATTTAAAAAAAAGATGGAGGAGAAACTAATTATCGCCGTAGCAAATCACCCGGTTTTGTATGACCAGACCCTCTTCACCTACCGGGATACAAACCGGAAGAACCAGTCATGGAGGGAGGTGGCAGAGACAGTGGGTGAAACTGGTAGGTTTTCGCCTGTTTGGGGAGTTTATATATATATATATATTGCTCGCATAACATCCTCGGGGTTTTTTGCTTTGTATGTCGGGGGCGGGAGATTCGTGTGATTGGTTGTTGGTCGCGTTGCTCGAATAAAATCCCCAAGCTTCAGACACGCCCAGCTCCAAGCTTTTTTTGAAGCTGTAGTGTGGACGCTCTGTTATACTTCCGTTTTAAATTGTCCCATTTCTTGGACACCTGGGAAGGGCTGACAGGTCCCTGCAGTCCCATTTTCTTAAGTATTTCCCTGAGCAAAGAAATGTATGTACATCCATAAAAATGATTAGGTGAAAACAGTTACACTTTTAACTTCAGAGAACTTACTCCCATGCTTTGTTGGCACTATGCGTCCTCCCTGTGAACAGGTGGTCATGTTCAGACCGCAGCTGTATCAGGTTAAGGGTCTCATCATCAGTCCCTATAAAAGAAAAAGTGCATTGCATGTGTTAACATTTATTTTCTAATGACCCACAATAATGGCTTCAAAATCTTTAAACATGACTTCAATTGTTAGTATAACCTTAAGAAATGAATTGCACATAATAATTCCCACGGAGCTGTGAGCACTTATACATTTATGTGACGCTTTTCCACTCATCTTCCAGTTGTCGGTTTTCCTCTGTTGAAATCGACCAGCTATGAAGGTGGGGGCGGGGCTTTTATACGCGAGTATGAAAACACTTCCGCGTAGTCTGCTCTCGTGTATCCTCCCTTTCGTCTCCTCCCGCACCCCTCCTCGACTCCTCCGTGTGCATTTCAGCTATTGGGACGTCCTTCAAAATGGCGTGTCTTGATCGATTTCCGGGTCATGTCCCGGAGGAGGGGAAGAAAGGAGTCGAGGAGGGGTATTGGGATGAGGCTACAGTCTCTTGGCAACACAACCTTCCAATCAGCATTCGGCCGGCCTGTGGAAGTCCCTCCCTACTCTGTCGCCATCATACGTCATTTGTTTTCGCTAACGTTTCTACAGTTATAGTGGAAAACCTTCATAATGCTGCTTCCTAGCTATGCGGAGGCGTTGAGCACACACACACACACACACACACACACACACACACACACACACACACACACACACACACACACACACACACACACACACACACACACACACACACACACACACACACACACACACACACACACACACACACACACACACACACACACACACACACACACACACACACACTGCCAAGGCCAGAGCCTAATAATAACTCATTGTCTCTGCAGTGTGCACCTGGCTTTTGCAACATTTCTAATGCAAGCTAAAAACGTTCTTGCTGTGACTTTTCCCTTCCTTTCCTTTCCTACCCATCAAACCTTGGGATTGGTGATTTAGTCTATTTATTCCAAAGTCACAGCCTCATGAAATGAGCACAATAAGCTTATAATGTAATAAGAATCAGTCTTTCTAATGTTGTATAAAATAGACTCCACAGGCTCCTGAGAATTGAGATAAAAGCCAGTTAGCGGCCGGCCTCAGATTAAATCTGTCACTGTCAGCTTGCTTCTGACTGCCTCCTCTTTAGGCGCATTCACACTGCGGTACTTTTCCCACAAAGGTTCATGTGAACTCTTTTATCGCGTTCACACCAAAAAGAGCCGGTACTAAAATTAGTTCATGTGAACCTTTTTACCCCCTCGAAAGTCCCTGCTCGAGAGCAGGGACTTTCGAGCGGCTCTTTTGTGAGAAAATAGCTATATTTCTGATTGGCTGGGCGGATTGCAAACCAGACCCCGTAAAACTACCAAAAAGTTTTGTGAAGCCGCCATTTTATTATCCTCGCATTAGCATTATTAGCATTAGCATTAGCCCAGCGCAGAAACGCAGAGAGACTAACTTATGGCAACACAAAATAAAACATGGGAGCGGTGGAGATGAGGAGGTGTCGGCGTTCTGGCGATTTACTCGGAAGGCTTCAGTAGAAGCCGCTGGGAGTCCCAGCAGCTTCTACTGAAGCCAGTCCCCAACTCCGGGGACTTCCGGCCGGGGACTTTGGGCGGCAGTATACGTCGTGAAGTGGTTTGCGGCCTGCCAGTAAACCCAAAGCAGAAGAAGAACAAGTGACATCAGCGGCTTCATTTGCCTAATCCTCCCCCAGGGACTTTTTCCAGTGTGAACGCGATCTGTACTTAGTTCATGCGAACTAAAGAGTTCACATGAACTAAGTTCACATGAACCTTTGTGGGAAAAGTACCGCAGTGTGAATGCGCCTTTTGACAGGGAAGGGACTGCATCCTGCTTACCAGAGGGGTTCATCATATCTAGTTTGGTTATGATCATCAAAAATGGTTTTGTATTTTATTTCTCTACAAACAGCCAATGCACCACCACTACAGACAATTGTAGGCTTAATACAACCCCTGGCTCTCATGTAAATTACTGACCTTAATCCTGAACCTTGTTTTTGTCCCAAAAATCCCTAACCAAACCTTAATCATGATGTGTTCAATAACTTTGGAAGGCAGAGAAAAATATATGTAGGTCATTTGGAGGGCATGGACCAACTTTATCATTTGTTGTTTGAATTTTAAGGACTTCCCAATATCAAAGGTGGTGTAATTGAACTAATAAGACACTTAAATGACCTTTATCACATAGTAGTAAGGCAGCTTTTATTTGGGACTTCTTCTTTAAAAGGAACATCACTTCCTGTATATACAGGAATTTCTTTTTTCCTTGGGTGGAAAATCCATCAGAGCAGTGGCAAAAGACAGAAACATTGACAGGTCAACCCTGCGGAGATTGGTAAAAAGGAAGGAAGAAAAAGGTAGTGAAAACTGTAGGGTATAGTGGAACAGCCAAGAGGGTCTTCACACAGGAGAGAGAAGGAGTTGCAAACAAAAAACTGGCTGACCAGTTCAATGGTCTTACTCCCAAGAAATGCTGTGGGCTAGCATTTTAAACAGCAAACAAAAACAACAGTCCTGTACCAAACAACTCAGGTTTAAACCTGAAAAAGTTAATTGTTCAATTTACCTCCAGATGGCTCAATTTACCCCGATCAACTTAGCCCTTAGAATGGGCATGTCAAGCCACGTCATTTGTTCATGACCATTTGTTATAGATGCATTATTTGCATTTTGATTGACAGAAGTCATCCTGAAGTAGAGGCTGTTGTTGTCATTTTACTTCTATCTAATGTTTCCTTGCCAAGAGGACAACACAAGTAAAAGTTGGCTCAGCTTACCCCCCTACAGTAAAAACAATACATATGTGCCTGGAATGAGCTCTATAGGTAGTTAGTAACTCAAAGTAAAGAGCTTTAACTCTTGCCAATATATTTTCAACTCTACCGCTGCAGCAGTTAAATACACCCACAGGACTCATTGGTTTCATGCAAAGCTGGTGACACAGCACACAGTTTTTTATTCCACTGCTGGCTCACTGAGTGTGTGATGCATAACATTTTCATAGACTGGCTGGTGTAATTATCGGTTCCCAGCCTAATCTAATCTAACAATGTATGCTCCTCATCCAACTGACTCAATGGGCACCATATTGCCACAGAAAGTAGTTTAGGAACTTTTTATGGATAGAAGTTACTGGAAAACCTCACAACAAAAACCTGCCTTGCAATGACGTATTGTGCCAAAAGTCATTTTAGAACATAACTATTGAAAAATACATCAAGGTAAATGAAAAACAACACAACAAATTGTGACAAGATGTGTTTCAATTATTTATGTTGAGACACAGTATATGCAGAACTACTGCATGCTGTAATTGTGTATTTATTATTCAAGGAAATAGTAACTCAGGTGTACAGTAGTTTCCCTGCTCCGTGCCGGCCTGAGGCATTCTCCTGAGGAAGGAAGCTCCTCATGGGACTATGTATGGTGTTCAGGCTGCATTTCCCCCTTACGCAAAGAAAATATATTTCCCCATATATTAACTGTCAATATATTGCATTATTTTGTTTTCTGATTTACTGGTTAATTGAAAAGATTTAATAAAGTAAATATTGCTGTTGGCTACACCAACTGATACTGATTAATAATCAACATGAAACACATATTTATTCATATCTACAAAATATATTGAAGATATATAGTATAATATATTGAGTTAATATATTACAATATATTGATATATAGAATACTATATTGTGTTAATATATTGCATTAATATATTACAATATATTGATATATAGAATAATATATAGTGTTAATATATTGCATTAATATATTACAATATATTGATATAAAGAATAATATATTGTGTTAATATATTGCGTTAATATATTACAATATATTGATATATAGAATATATTGTGTTAATATATTACAATATATGGGATAATACATCAGTAGGGGTGTAACGGTATCCGTATTCGTCCCGTACCGTCGCGGTTCGGACGTCACGGTTCGGCACATGCAGTCAGACG